TCCGCTCGAAACCCAATAAGTTGGCTTTGCCAACACAACATTAGGGCCGTCTCCTTCATTCTATGCTGACCCCCGGCCCGGGCTGGCTTTTTGGGAAGCCCGTTCCCACCGCGCTCACGGCCCGGCTGGCCTGCCAGCGGTAGTGGGAATTCTCCCGTTCCCTGGTAAAAGACTTGGTTGGATGCGGGATCTACTCCACGAGGAGCGGTACGGACGTAGATGATATCATCACGACCCCTCTTTTCGTACCGCTAGGGATGCTTAACGCCACTTCGCCAACTGGCGTTACCTGCGCTTTCGTGTCTCTCAGTGTGGTCAGCACTGGGTGTTTCCGAGCAGCGAGGCTTACACCCATTCGCATTAGTTCATCCAAAGTTCCTTACCCTTATGCACGAATTATTGAAGAAGCCATCTTCCTATCAAGGTGAAGGAGTCAACTGAGCATCTCAGCGGCGGGATTGAATACCCGGATCAAATCAGAGTTCACGCCGCCCGCCCTGAACAAATAGGAGGCGTGGGCCACTGGTCGCACATAAGCCGCCGGGTCGCACGACAGAAGAACACCCAACATAGAGATGCACACTCCTCCATGTGAAATATTCATCTTCATGTTCACTTTTTGGTAGTAGTCGTGACCAACAGCCATCAGCTGTCGGCTCGTTGGTAAGGTGAGAGCTTCAGGCCCGATTTCTGGTGGCGCCAGAGTCAAGTCTAAATAAACATCATCCCCATTTTCATCACCTTGCTCTTCTGTTAAGGGTGTCTCCTCTTCCCCAATCACCAGCCGGGTCAATTCTTCGGGAGACCAGCTGGATGGCAAGCCCCCCCCTCCTATTTCCTCTATCTTCTCTTTAAAGAAACGAATCATTCTATTTTTATTCAAGTTGTCACTCAGCTCTTGTGGAGAAGAGGAAGCCAGCTCATTTCGGACCCCAGTGGACGCCTCAGAAGCGGAACTAGATGGAGAAATGGAAATATCCAACCAATCGCTGGGCGAAAAACGAGTTGGATGTGTTGGATTGCCATATTGATAAATGCAAAGCTTTCGTTTCATGGTCATGGCAACTTATTCTTTTTTAGGGGGATCTACTTTATTTTTTTAGTAAGTAAGGCATGTGGGCTTCCCACTTATAGCAGGTATGCAACCAACCCTGCTTCCGCCTCTTGTCAGTTTTTGCCCTATATGTTATATATGAGATTGAAAAAGTACTTCTAAAAAGAATCATTTCATTTCATATGTGATAAGGATTTGTTCCGACTTTGTCTCGGAAACAAAGATATGGGAAAAAAAGGCTATGCCGGTACTGATGCTACCACTGGTGCTTTGCCTCCTCGGTACCCCGGATAAGCTACTGAAGCCGCTACTCGTGCTAGTTCATCCATAATGAAAGCACGAGTGCTAAAGAATCTGCCGCTAGCTCAACTAATGATGCTATAGGTTACAGATTGAGTACGATATGCCGCTATCCCTATCTAGTCTAGTAAGGGCTTTGAAGCCAGCTTCGAAAACGGGTTCCAAACCTGAGCAGAGTCTATTCTAACAAAGATGGGATCAAGTAAGGACGCTGATTCACAAAAGCCAGGATGATTTCCAGCTCCATTCCCTCCTTCACTTCAGCTTCAGGTCGACAAAGGAGGATTTCATTGCTTGATCATTCGCTACCTGCTCTTTTCTCTGGTTTCACCAAATAGAGTAGGTTTCCCAGTCAAAATATGAGCTCACTAGGTGCCCTTCTGATCTTTTATTTACCAAACTGTATACCTTGAGGCACCTTCGTTTTCATCCGTGGGGGTGGGATCAATTTATTTTTATCGTAGTTGTGCTGTCCAGCGCTGAGACACTTCGCCCTTCCAAATCAAAGGCGACTGCTAGCGAGCAGGAGGACGAAATGAGGGGGCCATCAGAGAAATAAGTCCCACCGAGATTGGCAGGGACTAAAGAGAATCCCATTTCTCTCCAAAGTCAATAAATAGAATAAGAAAGTCTGCCCAAGGCATGTACCAAATATTTCACATACCCCCACCAGGTCTCTGGCTCCGCAAAGAAACTAGCTAAAACAGAGCTCGCATGAATTGCTCCTAACATAGGGGATTGCCTCATCCGCACCGCCAGCAAGCCTTTCTACAGCGAATATTCAAGGAGAACGTTTATTTAAAAGGAGTATTCGGTCCAGCGATTGTAAGGAATCGAAAGCTAAGCGAAGACCATCTATCCCTACCCCCTAAGCCACTGTTGTTAAAAAACCAATGCAAAAGATAAAAATAAATGAATAAGGCAGAACGAGAATAAGCCAAATAGTCCCTCATTGAACCAACTTGAATCTTCACTTCTATTTAGAACGCAAAAGCCCATCTTTTTATTTATATGTCTAAGGAATTATGGATTTTTCGATTGCTCCTGATAAATGGGTCGTAGCATTGAATGTACTCTCGAGTGATCGAATGACTCTCTATGACACAATTACTTACCTATGGATGGAGCGATCCCCTCGTAACCAGGATTATATCACGATCGATTGAACATCTAGTGAACGCTTTAGTCTTGTCTCATCCGGATTTATTTACTCCATAACTAGCTTACTGAGCGAATCCGAATTCATTTCGAGACGTGGAGACTGTTCAAACTGAGTATGTTGGAATCTATCAAGGTTTTTGGCTCGCAATAAAGCTAGGGTCCTGATCGAGCAACTAGTAGTCCTATCTATCCACCTCTCCAGACACAATATCTTGAGTACCTATGATGGTGACCACATCTGCTGGCATGTGATGTTTGGACATAGAATCGAGTCCTTGTGAATGGGCAGAGCCAGGTGCTCTTATTTTACGACGGTAGGGACGATTGCTTCCATTACTGACCAGAAAGACACCAAATTCTCCTTTAGGTGCTTCAACTGCGGTATAGGTAGAAGAAGCTGGTACGGAAAAACCTTCTGTATAAAGTTCGAAATGGTGAATTGAGGTAGAGTAGACTGATGATCCTGTAGTCATTTGGCCGGGAAAGAAAAAGCTTGCATCTGCTTCCCCTATTATATAACCGGTCCCATCTCTCTCCAAACCTAACGTGGTAGTTTCCCATCATAGGGCTTTCTATCTATAGATTAAGCCATTACCAAGGAGCTAATTCGTTCAGAACTCAGTTTACTGCTTCTATAGATAAGGCGGAGCGTCCTTGGCTCAGCATTATAGCACGCACATAGGGCTTCGGCGCTAGCTCAATCCGTTGCTTGTTCGCTTTCTCAGTAGCAAAAGCGCTTCTCTTTGCCCCATTTCTAAATAGTTTCTTTAGACAAGAAATATATGATTTTTTTATTGCTCCCGCTTCCTCATCTGTGCTCATCAAGCCAACTTTGCTCTTTGGGGGGTGAAACAGCGGTTGAAGCGGACATTTCGAAATGACAGCATCGAATATATATGTATATATATACACGGTTACGGTTATCTCGGACTGCGTTCTGGAAAAAGCATCCTACTTGTGGGGCACTGTGTACTTACAGCCTATACGATAAGCAAGTGAATGGGGGCCGGGTTCATCAAACCATTTTTCGCCCTAAATAGGGGTAATTTGTTCGCACCTGACTGTGATAGCCCTCTCGATACCTTATTGTAGCTTTGTAACTAGTGCCGTCGCTAGAGCGTTTTCCCAGTGCGCGGAGCCCCAACGAGGAAGGTGTTAGTGGTTTATTTATCATTGGGTCAATAATGCTAATCCCTCTTTTTGTGCTACTCCTAGGGCGGGAAGAAGATAAGAAAAACGCCAAGTGTTCTCTTGCTTTCCCAACCTGTTGTTTCTAAAGACTGCCCTCTCTCGGCTGGATCTTGGTCCAGCCTACTATGAGAATCCCGTATCCAGCAACCCAACCTATACAAAGGGCATCAAAGCCCCTTTACTAGGTTGGAGCTATAAAGCTTACCGCCCCGATGGGTTATTATTATGAATAAGGGAAAGGGCTTTTTCAGCTGGTGCGCAGGAGCGCACTTCCGTTTTCCCTTTACTAGTAGGGGGTCCCGTGGTTCCTATGCCGCCGCGTTTCCCGGTCCTTTTCTTTTAGTGCTTCGACCCGAAGCGATAGCTTCTAGCTAGTTCAGTGGATAAGATGGCTGCGCTCCAGCTCACTCAAGAATGGGACGGCAGTGGTCCGCCGGCAAGCTCGTTCTGATCTTGGGCGCAGTACATTGGAATCCTGAAGCACCACCACGAACGCTACCCGCGCGTCCGCCTGCGGTGCGGTAAGGCACCACCCTGTTGTGCCAGCAGCCAATTCCGGCGTGTCAGCTTAGTTATCCTCATCAAGCCACTTACTTGATGTCTAGCTTCCCAACTGGTAGACGGTTCCTTTTCCCCCAGATCGATGAAGAAGGGAGACGTCAGTTTATTATTCCGAAGAACCGGAAGCGAAACGCTATGCCGGGGCGGGGGGACGGGAAAAGAAACGGCTCCGAAGAAATAAATTGGGGTTCCCAATGCTTCTCCACGCTTAACGAGATGCGCCAACCTCGGGATGCTTTACTCCTAACCCCACAAGGTTCCGAGACGGAGCTTAACCTGAGTCTCGGTTAAGAACGGCGATGATCTACGTTTCACACGGCGCACGATTCCATGGATAGTTTCATTCGAGATCGTGATGGAGGACACAGCTTACGATCATCGGATTTGATCATGCCACTAGGCATTTGATTAAGACATTGCACAATGATCCGAACACTTTGTCGCATCTCTTCGATACGAATACAGTAACGATCATAGCGATCTCCTCTGGTACCTACTGGTACGTCAGGATCCAATTGGTCATGAACATCGTAAGGTGCTGCTTTTCGCAAATCCCAGCATACCCCTGAACCTCTTAACATTACACCACTGAATCCCCAATCCTTTGCTTGCTGTGCAGTGACAGTACCAATATCCACTAATCGTTGACGGTTGCCGGTTGACATCTCTTCTAATTCGTCGATACGAGAAGCAAATTGTTGTGTGAAGGAATCAATATCTCTACATAAGCCAAGAGGAAGATCTTGTGCCACTCCACCTGGTCGTATGAAACTGGCATGCATCCTGGCTCCCGAGACTCTTTCATAGAATTCCAACAATTTCTCCCGCTCCTCAAAAGCCCACAGGAACGGAGTTGATGCTCCCACATCCATAGCATGAGTAGTTAAAGCAAGTGAATGATTTGAAATTCGAGTTATTTCACGGAATAACACTCGTATATATTGAGCTCGTAATGGTACCTCGCAATTCAAAAGTCTCTCTACGGCTGAAGAATGAGCGTGTTCTTGGGCCATCATAGAAACATAGATAGGGTCGACGACGGAACGAACAACGAAACTTTACGACAGCTTTTTCGTACACGTTCACTTGCATCACATACACAAGTGCTCTCTGAACCGTGCAATAAGGTCACCCATAACACGGCTCTCCCACTTGAGTTATCTTAGCCCCAGGCCATGCTATTCAATAATATAGGAAAAAAGGGTAACAACTAGTATTGAAAGCTGGTCGCCTTTGGAATATGAGTAGGGCTCCGGACGTGGCGCGTTCGTGGAGGCAAACCGAATAAAGAGCAAAAGGAAGGTTGGGTGCTTGTGGGGCGAGGCCATCCGGCCTCGAATAGGAGGGGGCTTAGCTCTGGATCCTCCCTGCTTGCAGAAATGAATGGATCAGAAGGGGGCTTGGTTCTCTATTTCCGGGCCGGGCGGGGAGGTGAAGGCCATAAGAGAAGATTGCCCTCCCGGTAAGGAAGAGGGGAAAAAGGTGCTGTCATCTATCTCGACCAGTTTCCCGAGGCCTTGGAAATCCAGACCGGCTCAGAGAATCACTTGCACTATTTGGCCCTTCGTTTCGCCAAAAATTCATCCTTTACGATTTCCCATTCCTTCCCTGCCGAGCCGCCTCTCTTCGCCATTCGATGCTTCCGCCTTCCCTTTCTATAACATACCCAGGCGCCCTCCTTTCCCATCACTAATAAAAAAAGAAATACCAATAAAAGGGTTGGTGTGGCTAAGTAAAGCTTCGTCTATGATTTCCAGGGGAGTTGACTTGACCCATTCCCCAGTCTCCCGCACTGCTAAAGTCAGTGTGCGACTCCGAATGAGGACCTCTTTCTCTTCTGCCCACTCTCCGTTCACACGGTTCTCAAAGCAGAGGAGGAAGGGGTGGGCAGCAGGTACCACGAGCCCTCTGTCCCACACATCTATCCAGAAGCAAGTGTAGTTCACCGGTTCCACCGAATGCTCCTATCTCTCGGCAAAGATCGTTTGAGTGTGCAGTTATGCTTCGGATGCTTCGCCATAGAATAGATCGACCCAGTTCCCGTTCTTTTCCGGTGCACTCGCTTTATATCTCCGAACACAAGGAAGGACGCGGTGGGAAGGAAGCAGCCCTAGCCTCTGTCCGGCCGATCATTCCGCTGGCATCTCGCATTCACGCCCCCGTTTGACTGCCGCTCGGGGATGTAGTTGTAGATAGGTTAGTCTTAGTGGGTCGTTGGCTCCACTTGTTATCTCCTTCTACGACATGCTGTTGTCGTCGCCATATTCCATATGTCACTTAGTCATCTCTGCCTCGCTGCGGGTCAGCACCTCCGAAAGAAACGGAGGACTTCATTCAGTGACCCCGCGATCGCCCTCTGAACGATCAGAATAAGGTAAAGCTTGAAGATAAGTTTTGTACTCTATTAATTTCTCAGTCCCTCTAGTCGGGTGGGTGCTGGCCGGTTTTTCGACCAGATCCCCCTTAAAACCGTACGTGCGGGTCTCCCCGCATGCGGCTCACGCCATTCGAGGTGGCCCAGCCCAGCATTCATTCGCAAATCCTGTAGTGAAATTGAGACTGCTCAACCTCGGAAGCTAATTCGCGTGTAGGCAGCGCTGTCTGTCGTACCGTTGACTCTATCTATTCATTTAATTTGCTTTATTGCATTTCGCGAGCTCTTTTTCCAAGAATTTTCCACTCCCCGTCGAATGACCCGGCCTCCCCTGGCTCTTCCACCGTCCGGGCTCCCTTTCCTCCCTATGCTATGCTCCCCCGGCGCAGGCCTACCACGCTTCGCGCCTGCGGCGTTTTCGCCAGACGGTCTTTGCCAGTAGTGCCATCCTCCCCGCTGGCTGTATGGGCGGGTTGTCCCTCGCTGCTGCATTCTGTTAGGCTATGGATTACAGGAACAAATGTAGTTGAATGGAACAGCAGGCGGGTTACACGTTCCACTGTGCCGAGATGTGAGGTGCAGGTGGTGATGATCACCCCGGGGTATGCGTTAGCGCCCTTGACAGGCACTCCAGAACCCGCCAACGCTCGTGAAACCCCGGGTCCGGTCGGTCCTCCATTCATCCGACCGGGGTTATGGATAACGAGGCCACCTTCACAACCTTCTCCCTTCTGTCCCTATGCTGTAATAAGGTAAGGCGGTTCGCTTGAGTTGCTCAACCGCCCCTTAGCCCGGTGCTCATGACGCGCTACGGAACCTCCACCGTGCCGGGGGACCAAGCAGGGCATAGCTAGCGGCATAGGAGCCGACTCGGCATCAGCGGCTTCGTGCCGCACTGGAGTGATCCAATATGTGGTTCCGCACGTTCCACCACTTCTCCGTTCATTTCCAATACTGATCGTGAAACACCATGAGCAGCAGGATGTTGAGGTCCGAAATTCGAAGTGAAATTTTTGATTTGCCTGTTCCTAATCGTCATGGGAAAGAAAGGCAGAAATAAGAAAGATATTATTCCCTGAGAGCTTGTCCAATACCACCAGTACCATAAATGCATCTCCTTCGCCCGCGCGAGAGACTTCTATGCCAGCCGGGAATCACGGCTCTGTTATGAAAGAAAGCGGCAGACAGACTACCTGCCAAAAAAAAGGTAGTCTTTTATGATCGGCTTAAGGAGACCGGGGTCCCCCCTTATTTTATCCGCCCTGTGCCTAACCATGGGTATAAAGTAAGTACCCCTCTCCCTACGGTCGAGTCTATTCTAACCTCTCCTTCTCTCCTTTCAGTCGAGTATAGTATCTTCTCCCCTCTCCTTATCAGTCGAGTCACTTCGTACCTCTCTCTAACAGTGATGAGTAGTAGTGAATAGTAGAGAGAGAAGAGGCATAAGGAAAATGGAAGGGCGGTACGCTCCGTGGAGCGGGGAAGGCAATTTTTTCCCCTATAGATCAACGGAGAAGTGGAGGACAGGCCCCTGTTAAGGAAAAAACATCCTTCTGTTAGTGACTTGGCTTAAGTTATTTAAGGCCGGCCAGACGGATTGCGCCTCTCTCGAAGCCAGCCTTTTATCCCAAAGCAAAAGAGAGAGCGTCTAGCGGTCTTATGAATCAATCAAACCAAAAAGAAGTTTTTGGACTATTCCCTAACAGGGTAAAATGTCCTTACATACGATATTACTTCTTACGTACTTTCTTTTTCTTTACTTACTTTATTACTTATGCAATTCTTGTTGGTCAACTGTCTCTTGATTTTCAATTCGCTGACCGCTGCCCCTTATCGCTGATGTGTGGTCTATTGCCTAAGAATGCCTAACCCCAATAAGCCAGCTTATCGAGGGAAGCTAGTCAGTCCGGTCTAATCATATAAAAAAAAGTATTTGCCCAGTAGTGCTCAACAAGTAAATAAGAAGGTAGTCGAGGACTATCCTAAGTCTTACGCTTCATGATGGCATTTAGATGGCTCTGCTCTATAGCCAGAGTAGAGTAAGGGGGAAAGACTCAAGTACAGTGAAAAGAACATTGGAACTAGGGAATCCAGCTGCCATTTCGCTAGATACCAGAAAGATGGGGAGGAAAGTTCTATCCAGTTGTTGGCGCCGGCGCTAAAGCGAGGAAGGGGTGCGTCATCATTTAGTTAGCAACGGAAACTGGTGAAATTGACCTAAATACGCAGGTCTAAATAGAACACTAAAGGCTTATGCCTTCACGACGTAAGGAGCGAAAACAAAATACCCTTCGTCAGCCTTTCCATCGATAGAGACATCGCCCGACCAAATACAATGTCCCAAAACGATCTAGTCAGCCTGCAGGCAACTGCTATAGATGACGCGCCTACCATGACCAGTTCAAGAGGAAGGTCACAGTAAGGGGAGAGAACACCCGGACTGTCTACTCTTATGTGTGTGGCCATGGGCTTTCCCTTCATATCACAGCCGTAAAGTCTATAAGGATAAAGTATTGGCTAAGCACCTTTGGGCGGGCCCCCTCTTAGTTCAATTTCGCTCGAAAGAAATGGTAATCTGTCTTCCCTTCATTTTTTAATTCACTTATCTTCTCTTCTTCTTCGATTCCTTTCCATTAATAAAGGAGGAAATACTAGATATAGACTAAATCGGAATGAATAAGATATGAATGGAACCTAAAAACAACCAACCACCTATAGGACTGCGATAACGTCCATCCCTATGGAAATTTTCTCGAACTCGGAGTAGCTCTTTATATATTTTAGATTATGTGGCATTGAGGTCATGGAGCTTTCTTTCTAAGACATCCACTTTGACCCGGGGAGGCAGAAGGTAATCACGAATTAGTGTGTTTTCCCGTTTCCCCCATTCGATTCAAAATACGTCGCTTTAGATCAAGAATTCTATTGATTTCCTCATCGGAGACATTGCTCGCCCCTGGACCCTGTCGATACACAAAAAACCTATTCCTGATTACATATTTGACTGATTCCATATCAGGTTCCGCTGGCTGAATAGCCGGAAGCGGATTAGCAGCAGCAGCAAAACAAAAGACGGTTGAATCTTGGTAGTTGTGGTCGTGACAGGCACTCGGGCTGACAGCCATCTTAGTGAGGTAGTCTATTTCGTTGAAGTAGCGGGTCTCCCCCCATCTGGTACTTCTCGTTCTAGTAAACGAAGGAACAATCTTTCTAGGAATAACCTTTTCTGTAGTTGGACTACCAGGATTATTCAATAGTAGTAGGTTCACCTCTAATACTAATAAGAAAAGGGCTTCCCCTTAGACCTTTAGACCTGACCAAGAGAAGTCACACCGGTAGCCCTCAGAAAGAAAGGTCCCTCGAGCTTTATTAGTAGTTACACGAGTGCTCAGATCAATACCGAAACACATATGGAGTGCCTGGCCTGGACCACAAAGAAAGAGCACAAGCAGGACTCCCTGCACCCGCGTGAGGGATGACTTTGAATCCATACCGAAGAGAATGGACGACTTGAAAAGGTCTCCATAGACAAAGAGACGATCTACACCGAAACAGAGAAAATACATTAGGAGCACTCATTCCTTGTACCCGGGGAACTTATGAATAAGGAAGGGGATCTACACCAGAAAAGGAGTTGACTCCCATATAGACACTTTCACTCACATTGCTTTAGGCAGTACTCTTCTTACTAAAGAAGAATACTTCCTTAAATAGGGAGCAAATCCGTCACTGGACGAGGAAGGAAAGGAAGATCTGTACAATAAAGTAGATTAGAAAGCGTTAACAAGACTATCAGACCAAGAACAGAACTGCTGGAGGAACAACTACCTAAGGCTTAAAATGACATAGAATAAGTGGAATCTCATGCAAACTGTGAGGGAGGTGGTTAACCGGTGCTTAGAGAACTACCTGGGATGCTTTACAAGCGATAGACCAAAATCAATTAAATATTCTAAATGAATCTAATCCCATCCCCTACGGACAAGGGTGAATACCCGTAAGTGAGTTCGCGCAGGAGTTTCTTGCTCTGATTCTGTAGCGGGAGTTTCCTTGTGTTGTGGAGTTGTGTGGTAAGCTTTTCGGCTTCCATCCACTGGCGACCTCAAAGCATTATTTTAAGCGCATTCCTTGTCCTTTAGCCTTATAATCGTAATCGGCCTGAAAAAGAAAGTAATAAAGAGTTCAGGGCTTAGAAGATGCAAAGCTTTCATCCGCATTCCGTCTGTGTTCTAAATAAAAGTCTTCCATTAGATAATAAAGCTCAGTTTCCATCTTCTTTTTCTTAAAGAATAGGAGCGAGACTTTCA